AGGAGCCGCCGGGCGAGTGTCTGTTGTTGAGATGGAGCCTATCCCTGTTCTTCTTGCCAACCTTCCACATGTCATCGGCCAGGTAGGAGTTGCCTGGCGGTTTTCGTCGCCTGCCGCCCTCCGGGGGTGTCTTAGCATCATCGCTGACCATTCCGGGAAGCCGATGGCCAACTGCGTCCTCCGTAAGGGGATGATAGAATGACGAGGGGTCGGTTAGAATGTCCAGATCTATTTCTGGCACGGAACCGCTCCGGTAGCCGTTCTCCTGGACATACCAGTCCATTTGTGGAGAGGCGAAGATGCCGGAAGACTCGAGCAGTGTCCATCCACAAGCTAGGTATGAGTAAATTAAAGAGTTCATCATCAGGCAATATGTGACAGCGGAGACTAACTAAGCCGTCTTTGTAGGAGACCACAATTCAACACTATGGACGAGGACAAGTGAAAGCTAGGTACATGTAAATTTTGAAGATAAAGCTGCTTACGACAGTGCTTCGGGGAGTCTAGAATTTGAGGGGAAACTTCGCCTATGTTTAAAAGGATTATTGTCACAAACCTCTTCCGCTGAATCAGAATCGTTTAGTCAATGTGCATATCGAGTTAGGCACAGGAGTATGAACCTACATTACTGCAGGTTGTCTTATATGGTTAGGACTAGAAGGGGTAGGCTCCGGGCTAGAGAAAGGACAGCGCGCTAGGTCACCTGTAGCCCAGTAATCCCTATTTCCGTGTCTGACAGCGAATCTATCAAGGGATCATCCAACCAACGTGGACTAAATGCCTGCCCACCACGTACACTCCTCGGAAGAGTCATTGGAGGACCGGATTAATAATGTTGCATACGCAGAACGCAGGGAGGAAATTCGCGTTAGTAGCTTGCCCAGTTAGCGCTAAGGATCACTTGTATGGACGCCTAAACAGGGCGCGAGAATAGGGACGTTCCACGCCCTTTAAACAGGTGTCCTTACTATAAATATCGAGAGGGGCAAATAATTATCTGTCCTAACTTGATCAATAACCTAAAAACAAAACAAAACTGCAACCCTACCCTTAGCCCTAACCTTAACCTCAACGCTACAGCTAACAAAGTCCAAGCCTTAACCCTCAACATAATCCTAACCCTAACTCCAACCTTGACCTTAAGCCTAACTCCCACCTTAGTCCTAAACCGACTTTCCCCAGAATTTGGCGCAAAGCCACAGACTTTGTGGGCAGTACCTGTTCTCATGTCTTGTTTGGGCGGCCAGACAAGTCCTCCATACCTCATTAATTTGCAGAGTTAAATTTCCGAACGAAACTGATGTCATTTACTGTACAGTCCTGTTTATTTAAATAGGATGTCCGGATGCAGTCGACATTATGACGCTACCGTAAAGTGGGATGACTAACCGTGTATGGCAGAATACGATATCAGTTAGGGCTGTTGAATGTGTAAGTTTATAGTGTAGTTGCAAAGGAAATCTAACACCATCTTTGTCACTTCATTAAAAGCCTCAATCCGTCGCAGCAATTCCGAATATGCTGAATGGCCACGCTCACATTTAGGGCCTGTGAGGAGGAGCAAACTCGAGACTGCAAATATCCATAATATGCTCACACTAATTTGACTGGCTCAGGTTAGCAGCTCACTGACATCCGCGGCAGACCACTACGTGACAGATTGTGTCAACTTTGTGCACAGCCCCTCGTAAATCGGACGAATTTCAGCAAGTTCCCAACTTTGTAAGGTCCGGAGTCAGCGGGGTTTCACGCGATCACGATGGGTCGGTGGAACACGATGCTTACATGGGCATTATTTGCGTTTGAAATATTTTTGAAGAAATAGAAGGGGCAAACGGAAAGATGCGATAGTTGCAAAAAATGAGCTAAGAAAACTCACTCGGACAACCATAGAGTTTGTTAGTTTGCCTAACGTCCCCGGGGCTGAGTTGAATTCTCTGACCAATTAGAGGACGTGGGCAGCATGCCTTGGGCCTGATTGTTTCGTCCTTGTTTGGTTTGGCAAAGGTACCCTTGGCGTAATGCATAACCGAGCTGTAGTCATAGGGCTCTCGCAGGGAATTAACCTCGCCCGAGTCCATCTTCTTAAAATTGAAATCCTGGCCTTCAACAACATTCTCCAGAAGAATCTCGACATGGTCTACGTTAGGATAGGAGATGAAACATGATGATGTGCAGTTTTTGATCACAACGTTTGTATGTTACTATTTTAAAAGTTAGTAAATGTATGAAATCCAGTACTAGGTAGTATTAAAAACATACAAAGTCAGCACTTTCAAAAAGTAGTCATAAAAAGTTACCGTCCCGATCGGGTCTAGTGTGTTCGTGCCAGAATCCGATGACGTGACCAAGTTCGTGGATAACGATTCCCTTTTTGTCGCAATTTTTGCCGATTGAAATCGCCTGTGGTTCATCTTCACTTCGACGACCCACATAGGAACAGCATCTTGGTTTGTTCATTTAAAAAAAAGAGGATGTTAGTTTAAATCCGTTAAGCCGAGAACCGTTGACCAAAAAATTTTGTACAGTTTTAAAGAAAACCTAGTCGACAGCTAAGTGGCACGGGACTGGGCTGTTATGAAAGTTGTTAAATTAGATAACCATGGCTGCCCAACACACTGCACTATAGACAGAAGAGCATAACCGATAAAGACAAGGGAGACTAGGATGGCCATTTCTGGCTTACAAGCTGTCGTCAGCTAGTCATACTGAACTTAAGTGTTTTCCCAGAAATGGGTGCCCCGCTCGATTTTCGAACCCACGACCCTGTTAGTTAAACGTCCAACGCTATAACCATTGCGCCAGGAGATCGCTGTCTTGTCGGATTTTGATCGGGAATATCCAGTGGCAGATAGTCATACACCGATCAGTTAGAGCCGGCATTAATTTGTCAGGAAGCTACAGTTTTCTAACTAGCTTGCCTTAATTCAGCTGCGGTGTAGGATTAAACGCCGCGTTCATTTCTGACCTTATCACCAAGTCTTACGAAATGAGGTTGTGCAGGCATTAATTTGGATTTTAAAACAGTTCCAGTTTCTCCATTCTAGTGTTTGTCTGTCAGTTGACGCCCGTGAAAACTGAAAAAAGTCTCTAGAATGTCGTAAACGCAAGGTCACGTCAGGCAAGAAATAAGGTAACTATGGCTCTTACGACTTTTCTTCAAATTAATCCCAGCGCATGTGCGTCGGCAGGTTAGAATTGTCAACCACGGTTCTCGTGATCGTCCGCCACCGAATCAGCCTACGTACTAACCAATCACATGTCCAGCACACAGCCAGTCCCTTTCTTATACGGTCACGGACTTGCCAGGGCCGCTTAGGCGACATGTCGAAACTCACGCCTTCCCGAGCGGACGCGTGATTGTGGTACAAATGCTAGCTGCCAGACCACGGTGGCCTGTCATATGTACAGATTCAATCAACTGTCTGCTTTTCATCACTAGGCGAAAGTAAGTTATTGTGTGGTCTCCCCAAAGGCACCGTAAACTGCCATGGCAGTTACGCGTCCTGATCGCTAGCGCAAGCAGCAAGGCTGTCGCTACATGACACACACACGTGTTCCGCTTGAAGTTGTCCAAAAATTGATCCTCGTGCTGTTTGCTGGCTATATTTCTCGTTGAGCCCTCTTTTAAAAGGCCGTACACAATAAATGAACAAAAGAACCTGTAATTCGGAGCCAATTTCTTCCACAGGCGTGATCTTTAGCGCGAGATTTCCTCCACTATCAGGGCGTTAGAGGTCTGCAAGTGCATTTTACCAGTAGGACGAGGCCTTTTGGAAGCTTCTGAAGAAGTGGAGGCCTGCAGTGATCCTGTTGAGGCTGATTATAATAATGAGAATAGTCCCGTATTTTATACTTCTCGGCCTGTTAATTTCTTTTCTTTCTGAAATGCAGCAGCTGATTGCCAAAGCCTGCGCCGCCCGGCAACATCCAACAAACATCTTATTTGCACGGCATTGTTGTAAAAGAGTCGACTGCTTGTGAATCGGATTCTGTGGACTCAGTTTGTCCGTTATCAAGTTTGTGTTAACAGTCTGGCCCCTGCATGGAATAATAAGCCCCTTTCAATTTTTCGAAAAGTTTCGGACCGCCAGAAGTGTACTTTCTTTTAGGTAGCCTATTCTACAACGCCAGTGGAGTTTGACCTCTGCGCCAGTCGCGCATGCAAAAATTGGACTCCGATTCCAGCGTGTCTCATGTTCTGTTCTGAAGCTCACCACAAGTCGCCCCCCCCCTCCTCTGACAGCCGTCACACCAGACTCTTTTCACTGGATTTCCCAGTTAGTCGCTCTATCCTTTGCTTGCAAATTAAATGGGGCTTGAAAGTGGCAAGATGTCGAATCAAATACGCTTTTTTATTGCGGTTGGCATGTTCACGCGCATAGCAACTGCTGAGTCAGCCGAGGACTGCTTGATGATGGCTTCAAAAATGGGATAATGTGACTAGCTGCAGAAATTAGTGTCTAGAAGGCAAAATTAGTTTCCAATAATAATGATACTCTGATAATTCTAATGACAGGAAAAGAACTTACCCGCAGGCCTTAACCGTGAAGATGATGTAGGACTTATGGTGGGGCTCCCGTTCGACAAAACTGAGACACGTGTGGTTTTCCCAATGACGCATTGCTTTCATTATGGTCGCTTTGGTCTCACCTTGGTGCAACAAAACAGTTCTGCATGAGTCATGCCAGAGCATGACACAGCAAGGCAAGTACTATAAAAACCTTTACTGATTGTGAGTTAAACATATGCTTGGAACTTCCTTTGAGAAAAATACTTGCATCATGGTTCATATAGGGCAAAAAAGAAAGGAAACTGCTTGTTGTAAAAGGTGTGTTTCAGAAGATAGTGGACGAACAGGACATGTGCTAAGAAGCACAGTTTCCGACTGTGACAAAAATTATAAACATTCGTTTGATACAAGAACGCGGCAGGGTAGGTTAGCATAATAATAGTCAGGTGAGAGAACATTGGTTACGTTAGACGGTTGTGGGTGTCGTTACGATAACTGTGAAGTAGGACTATAAGAATGCGGTGATCTAGGCTCGCCTCGCAGCCGCACCTTTTCTCATTGCTGGTATTGGCTATGCTCCATCGTCCACTGGAAGCATTGTCGACTAGCTGATACAAAATCACTTACGTGCAGAGTAAGTGGCACTTTGGCACGCACGCTCTACCAGGTAACACAAGAAGCATTGCGCATAGCCCCAGGAAGCGTAAATACTTTCCCGTCGTAACTCTAGCATGTGCCCTAACTTAAACCCATAGCTTTGCCTGAATTGTAACCCTTATCCTATCCTACTCTCCAGTCCCACTGTTAACACTAACTCCAACTTTACCGCAAACCTCAATCTACTCAACCTTAACACTAAACTTAATCCTTAACCTAACTTGAACTTAACCCTTATGCTAACCACAAACCAAAGCACAACTTAACGCAAAGACACCTGTGCTCCTGTTCTCCTGCCTTATTTAGGGGGCCATATCCAGGTTACTGCCGCGAAACTGTCGTATGTCGACATACAAATGATAACATCCCAGACGAGGGAACTTTAACAGTAAAAGAAAATGGAATAAGGCTTTGGAAATCCCAAATCCACGTACAGTTCACATGCCAGTTTACTGCCAATAATCTAAAATAAAGTGTGTGTCTACCTTGTTCAAACCGGATACACCCTAAGCAAACACCAGCGATATCAATGTCCAGCCACAATGACCGTAAAATGACCCTACTACACACAAAAAAGGCGGTTAAATACGCCTCCTTGAAACCCATTCAACGGGTTCTACGTCCGACTTGACATCGGTTTGAGGAGAACAGTCGTTACGCAATTCACTAGTTTGATAATTGAGGTAGGCGTGATTAGCTGAGAGGCGGGTTTGCAAGAACTTCATTCCCCGCTTGAACGGCCAATACCCGTGAAATCTTTTGCCGCCAAATGCGGTGTCCATCGAGGTCACACAGCACGCAAGTTGACTCGGAACTCGGTCGACAACAACAAAAAACTGCATATAATATACTCCACAACATCAGAACACACAAGGGAGATCTCAGTTGCAGGT